CTTGAACCATGCTGGCACCAGGGACAGACAGGCATGAAAGATTAATGTAATCTTGCATACAATGATGCACATTCTTACACAGAAAATCCATCTGCAATGTCATGTCAGTCAGCAGAAATCTTTGATGGGTGGATACAGCTGGGCTGTCTCTTCTGGCAGAGATGCCCTAGAAAATGCTAACTGTGGTTGAGATGCTTGGTGCCATCTGCAGTGTGCCAGTTTATCCTGTCTTCGCTGGCATTTACAATACTGCATAGAGCATCATGACTGTAGAGACGATAGGGAGTGACAGATTCATTTCCTCGGAGGATCCAGCTCTGGTGAGTCTGTGCCACCCTCCTCCTTGGCTTTGGGTCTGTTATCATTGGTATTGGCTTTGCTTTATATTTTCACATCCAACTCCTCCTTTTAGTCTAGCAGTTCCAGATACAGTTCTAGTATGTAAATCTTACACTAACCTTTCAACTAATTTATTCGTGTAAGGTTGCCAAAGTGAATTAACATCGTTTGATGCCAGCTAATATGCCTTATTTTCAAAATACTACTGTTCTTAGGCTTCTGATTTAAAGAAAGTGTGTCTTATTTAGGGAACACTAAACAGACAGGCACCAAGATAAATTAACCAACTGCTCTGTGTGGGATATCCCCAAATGACTTATGTAGTTGGAACAAATATATGACCCTCTTTTACATAAAGCTATAAAACACATCAGGCAAGTAACACTGAATCCTCTTTCCCGTGATTAAAATATAAATATTCAAGAATAAATGTCGTTTTATGACTTGACCATATGTTTATCATATTTTCCTGCCAAACCAAGTTAAAGTGTAGATCATTGTTTAAGACTTTCACTTTGTGTGTGTGTGTGTGTTTTTTTTAAATAGTAACAGAATATGAAGGACATGCTCTGTCACTGCTGAAGGAATGTGAACTAGAGGAATTTGATGGGTAGGTTATATTATTAATCTATATATCATATAGCTTATGTTATTAAATGTTTTCATTAGTTTCTAGCCATATATTTGGAACTTTTAATTTTTAAATATTTGTGATGTATGTAATTAGGCTTTCTTTCATATCTGTGTAATAACAATTAATAAAAATAATGGTACAGCATGGCCATCCACCTCTGAAGATCGAGCATAGGAAAGCAAAAGGAGAAATCTACTTATCTACACTGGGAAATCCAGTATACCATATTATACTTACCTAATATGTATACATTTGCATCTGTAGTTCTTAATTCTTAAATCATGTGAATATCTAGAAAAGCACTGATGGAAGATATTATATTGGTCATATGGTATAACTCTACTATATCCTCTTTTGCAAATTTATTGAGAGTGTTAATGGTTACCCATTGGTTATTTGGCTGTGATTGATTGAGGGTAAATATAAAAACAAATATTATTTTCAGATTGAGCAAAAGATGTTAATTTTAATTATCTCTATAACTTAGTGGCTACCCAATATATGTGTCATTCACAGTAGGCATTGGTAACTGTTGTGTGCAATACATCATTGTATGTAGAAATTTCTCACTGAAATGCAAATATTAGAAACATGGCAAGTGACATATACTTTAATAGCCATTTTTTTTTTAAATTAGGTGAATCAATTTGCTAAAGTGCTGGATTGATGTTTAACACAAAAATATATTCTTTCAGGGAAGATTTTTCTTTCAAGAGTAGATATTATCGAGTTTTAAAAGGTGGCAAGTATGTGAACTATTTGTCATATGGTGATGGGCAGGGGGCAACAAAAGACTCAGAATATCAGGAAGGGCAGTTGAGTTTTTCAACCAAAATGAAAGACTTCACTCTTCCCAAAGAACTAGAATGTTTTAGGGAGGAAAGTGATGTAATTAAAATGGAGCGTTAACAGGGTTGTTTTTCAGAAACAATATATTTGGTGAGAAAAAAACATTAGATGAAGAATAAAGTTTGATAAATAAAATGACTTTTTTCAAAAAGCAATTTAATAGAAAGGAGTAAATCTAGATAGCAATATTATATAAATATTGAGGATGAGTATGAGGTAGGGGATTCCTTCAAATGTTTATACTTAGAGCTAGACAGATTGATTAATAGGCTAGATTTAGGAAATTATCTTGCAAGTATATAATTTAAGAAAAGCAATTGGAGGAATCATGCCCACTGCCTTAATATGGTGCATAGTACTGAAAAGCAGCTTGTGAGTATGTATAAGTGTGGCTGCATTTCAAATACATTCTCGCTTCAAAACATGAAACATGATTATATAAATAATGAAAAGAACAAATATCATAGATACTAAACCTGGTCTTGCCCATCAGTATTATTAAGTGTTCTGCTAAATGTGGTATCTATACTATTCAAGGACCAAGAAGAACTTTGCAGAGTGATGGAAGACTATTTTTTAAGTGCAGTACAGTAATATTTTTCTTTATCTGAACATTTAATTCTTGTTTATTTCACATGTCAGATGTTATTTTGTGGTGCAGCACTAAAAAGAGAGATAGATCCTTTAGTTATTACCTACATTTTTTTAAGCACATAGTTTGACCTAATCATTATTATGAATTGAGTTCTATTAATTAACTGTTTTTAACTTTACAGCATGCTGATTTATTTAGGACTTATAATAATTTTAAAATTCTATCAAGTCATCTATTTCCTACAATCCTTTAAATATCTCATTTATTTCCAAGGGCCCAATTTTTCCATTGTGAAATGATACGGTGGTTGGGATAACTATATTAATAAAATGGTTTAGGTTTTTAGACATAAAGAGGTTAAGATCCAAGGAAGATTCTATATACATTATTTAGTAAAGCAAAATGATTTGGTAAATAATGTTTAATAAATTTTATTTGCTAAGATTAATGAGTTACATGTTTCTATGAAGACACATTGTGACATATTTCTACAGCCAACAGGAACAGTGGATCAGTACTAATGACAGCTGGTGTGCAACTCCAGTATGTTCTAGAAAACACTCAGATCCATTGCTAAAATTGTAGGAGTGTCAGTTTCCATATTGCCCCCTATTTATACTGTGCATGAATAGGAAGTTTTTTAAAAGCAAAGAGAAGAGTAGTACCAGATGCATAGACTTGAAGCAGTAACAGTTGAATTTATAAGTGTTAATATAGTTAAACTAATCTATAGCTCTCGTGCAATTATAAATATGCCAATATTTTCCTATTTGTTTCAGTGTTTTTAAATTTTTTTTCTTCTTTTAATTTCACCATTAACTAGACTCTCAATAATTTAGACATTATTTGGCTAACATTGATATTTTATCACATTGACCATGATATCTGTGTAACTAGGTAAAGTTTAAAAAAAAAAAAGGCATCTCTTTTCCAAATGAACGTTTAAATCAAAAATCCAGTAATATATAAAACATTTCAAAGATGATATTGGTTGATAGACAAATACAGCAGTACCCATTTAAATTTTTTCTTTTTACTTTTTATAAAGAGAAATAAGATATTAGCCCCTAGTTGCACTTTTCAAGACAGGATTATTCTACTTGGGGTCATGGCAAGAAGGGGTCTACTCATTCTGAAAACATAAGATGTACCACATGCAAAAGATTAGTTGTTCTAAGGTTTATGTTTTAAAGTAACCTTTAAGTGTGATTAAATTAACTCATTATAACAGGTTGGGATTTTTTCCCTCATTTTCTTGTATCTAGACTCTTGTGATATATTTGTATTAAGTATTTTCCCTAGGTCGAGTCATACCTGGAGATGCTCTTAATGATCTAGCAGTTGTCAACAAAAGTAAATATATTTCATCTTAACTCATTTAATTCCATATTAGTTATAATGGTAAACTGATTTTCAAAATAATAAAAGTCTCATATGGCTATTTTCATTAAATTTTATATACAGGAAAGGAATATAATATTTTGAATAGTAGTGCAGTGTCTAAGGCCAAATTGTCTTGTTTCAAGTCTTCATTCTATCACTTACTATGATATGATTTTGGAAAAGTTACTTAATCTTTATATGCCTTAGTTTCCTAATCTGTAAATTGACAGTAAAAGTATCTATTGCACACAGTTATTGTTCATATTAAATGAGTTAAGACATGGAGAGTGCTGAGAACAGTGCCCAGTACATAGTAATTACTCATTGTGTGTTACTTTATCATTGTAATTAGCATAATTTATTACAGTTTCAAAATATTTAACACTGCATGCGTTAACGATAAAATTTCAGAGGTTTTCTAGCAGAGCATGTTCATAGAAAGGCCATCTCTATTAACTCTAGAAGTGAGTTAACATGTATACGATACTATAACTGGATGCAGGATTCTAGGAGTCAGATGTTGCCATACTGTGTGGAAGAGTTGAGTTCTTTGGTGCCAAGTTAGATGCTTTGTTGGATGACTTCAGTGCTCCTTTTAGGCCACACACCTCAGCAGGTAGACAGACATGGATCCGGAAGTTATAATTTAAGTTTACAGAATGTTTGGGGCTCTCAGAGAGATCTTTAAAAATCATGCAGATAAGGTTCAGATCAAACCTTGACTTGCCATTCATAGAGATGAGGCTAATGCCTACTTTATAGAAGTCTGAGGGTTTAATAGAAGAGAGCCAATGTATCATCTGACATAAAATTGCCCCTCAGTAGATATAATCACTTTTCTCTGAATCAGAGGCCACAATGTGAATCCTTGGAATCAGTTCAGGAATAAAATAATACTCCTAGCCCCCAAATGATCTGGGTCATATTGCATGTCCTGGAGTCTCTTCTAACTAGGGTGGACCTGGATAGCCCAGGATATGTATAGCCATAGAGCTAAACCTCAGCTAGATGCAAGGGGTTGGGGTTGGCCGGGGCGAGAGGAGGCGGGCGAGCAGTGGGGCAGGCTGAAAGCAAGGTGGAAGGAATCGTTGGAAAAAGTTCCCTCAGCCTCTGAATTCACCAACCTGCAGAGCTTCCTGAACTTAGGGCACCAGTAACTCCTGTTGATTATGGCCCGTAGGCTGTTTTGTTTGGCACATAGATATATAGAATGCTAGTTACTAGTATTTACAAATAAAGAGACTCACCCCCAAATCAGGATCTGTGTCTTCTCTAAGAAAAATCATAAGATGTGGTCCTCCAGGCCTGCCTCCCATGTGATGAGTGGGTGGGGGCTAAGGAGTGCCTCTCCTTTAAACTGA